TTGCAAATTACAATTAAAATATTTTGGCAATAAGTAGAAATGAAAAGAAAAAATTGTTTTGTATTAAAAAGCCAAATTAATGGCGAAAAGGTACTTAGTTGTTCATTCAAACCATAAAAAATTGCCATAATGCTATAGACGACAATGGTGATTGATTAATTTTAACAATAGTTATTATTGGTACTATGTTAGATGATGTTTTTTAATTAGGTAACAAACATACTAATATTGGTACCAACATATCTGATGTAATTGCAACGGAATTAAGTTTTTATGACTCACCGAAAATTATAAGTACCGGCAGTACAAGTATTGTAGTAGTGTTTGAATATCATGAGTTGATCTTGAGCAATAGCAATATGTCAGATGATACTGAATGTAGCTATGAATGTCTTTATATTGAATACTGAATGTAGCTATGAATGTCTTTATATTGAATACTGAATGTCTTTATATTGATGGGATAATCCTCTAAAAACATGTTTTACTTAATCTAATTATATTAACCCACCGAAAAGGGAAATAAATAATAATAAAACGACGATTTATTTTAGCTTAATGGATTGTTGTATGTATGGGTCTTTCAGTTTGGTGAATGATTTCTTAGTGTTTATTGATGCCGATTTTTTTAAAAATTATTTTTCTTTCACCCCGTACGAAGATAGGGTATTCAGCAAGTTAATTAAAAAATAATATAAATTTCTTAATATCAGAAATGAGAAAAAGCTAATAAATTAATAATATCTATTTATTGAATTTAGAATGATTTATTTATATATTAGAATCTATGTGATGTCATTGCAGTTTATAATTTTTACCGTACTGTATTCGGTGAATATTGCTGTATTATTCGGTTATAATAAATTCGGTGTTAAGTAACACGAGTAAACTTTGGCAGCTTGGGAACCTTTTAGGTCAACAATTAAGATAAGTTTTCAGCAAAGCACCTACCAATTGAGTGTTTGCACTTTAGAAAGAAGAAGATCATTGATACACTGATCTATGAACTCCACGCCACCTGATCGTTTATAAACAAAATGGCGTGTTTAAGTCGAGCTATTTCTCTCCATATAAGTTAGAATCTTAATTAATGTGAAGTTAATTAAATACAACGGCGTATCACACAACGATTTATTTAAAATATAATTATTTCCCCTCTACGTTATTTACTTTAATTATATTTACTATATGCTTATGCATTTTATAGTAGTCGCATGATATATTTTTGTTTTGTATACCTTTGATGCATAATTAATTTTTTTATGTCCTACATGGCTTTATGCCTTTTGTGTTAAGTAAGAATTATTCAGTGAAAGAATCGAAATCTTCGTGAAAGAAATTAGAATGTCTCTCTTAAGAGCAATGTTGTCTGACGGGCTTGACTTACTCGAAATAGAATGGAAAGAGCATTTGATAACATAAACAAATGCCACTCTTAAGCAACCAATCAGGATCAAGATACCAACACTACGTCACTTGCAGCTATTCCATTAATCATAAGAAGAAAAAAATATATGCTATCATATGTACTAATAAACTAATAATAAATACGAAATGTTTGTTTTCATATTATGATAAAACGGAGACAAGTACATTGTCTTTCTCATTAGAATGTTGCTGCGTGTTGTGATGTCAAAAAAAGTAATTAGTTAAATTTGTCTTTATTATTAGAAAGATTATGGTCGAAACTGTGACACACGACAATATTTGGACAGCATTTTTTATCTGAATCGTAGGCAAATTGTTTACAGTTAGTTTAGGTGTGGTATAAAGTTTATTTTTTAAACTCTTTGGTATGGTATTTTGAAACAAAACAAAAATATAATTAAAGCATGAATAAAGATAATTTAACTAGTAGTTGCATCATTAACAATTGCTTTTTTAACATGGATAACACAAAAGTTTATAGGGAATGAAATAAAAGTAAAAAAAGTTTTCAAAAAAAATATTTTTCTCGTAAATATAAACACTCGTCTCTGAGGATAAGAAACTTTTTATAGGAAATGATAGAATATAAAGTATTAAAACAATACATAATGTTATAGGAAGTTTTGTGTAATACATGATTGTACTATTTGTATTAATTAAAAAAAACAGTATTTATTGCAAAGCGAGCTCTAATAACTCCCACAATACTTTATTATTATAAGAGTTAAAAACTTGCTTTATTTTGAAAATTCATTAAAAAAAAACACTTTAATGTCTTTCAAACTTTGCTTAGTTAATTTATTGTTAGTAACTTACTTGATATTTTATCATTAACAGGTACATTAAGTTGATGTTTAACGACATTTAAATGACTTTAAATTTACATACAACCCTGCGTGACGTCACTGGAAAATTTTTTCCAACAGCCTGTTTAGAAATAAAAAAAATAAATGGTCTTAATGTTCAGTTTGAGAAGTTTGCGGCAGAGTTTTAAACCTATTTTCTCCCAACTTTTCCGAGCCAGGAAGAGAAAAGTGTTTTGCAGTTTTGAAGGCAAGAAAACTTCATTTTGAATTCCATCTTCTTCCTCGAAAACTTCTTCATCTTCGTCCTCCTCTCCACTCCCTTTTCCCCTCTTCAGAATATTCGTGATTTCGGAAATGTTCTTTTAGTTCCCAGCCTTTTGAAACGGTCGCATATGGAGAAAAAATTAATTATGCCGTAAAAGTTCCTTTCTGTTAAGATAGTTTTGTTTTGTTGCAAACGTGCGCTTTTATTTATCATCCGAAGCATTTAGGTTGGCAAAATATATTACGTATAGTTTAACCAACAATTCATATTAAAATGTTAAACGACAGCTGTAATAAATGCAGTAAAATTAGAAATGCGAAAAAATAGCATGGAAAATAACAACTTTGATGCAATAGTAGTAAAATGGGAAATAATTTATATTTTAAAATAAAGAATAACACCAGCAGTGTAGTAAGTTAATAAATGTATTAAAATTTCAGGGAAATTAAAAGTAATTTTCCATTTAAAAAAAATCAACTAAAGTGGAGTATAACAACAACTTTGTAGTATAACCGGAAAAGCAATTTTCTATTATTAAATAAAAAATAATAAAAACTATTTGTTTGGTAAAATAAAAGTTTCATTACATTATGCTCAAATGAAAGATCAGTTTTCTATTTGACAATAAAGAATGAAACCATACTATTTTTTAATTGTATTTACCTTCAAAAACATGGATGGAAAAGGTGAAATTAGGTGAAAAATTATAATAAAGATTAAAAGTATGCTAAAAATGCATAAAACGGTGTATATTATCACGTTACATTAATAGTATGAATTACATCATAAAATGTAAGAAAGACTCTCCTTTATTTGAATTATGTAACTAATTTTATTTAAATTATCAAAGGATAATTTAATACGTAACGTAAAATAAATACACTGTTAAACTATCTACCACTAAATATTTGGATACCCATTTTATTTAACAAAAAGGAAATTATGGTATTAGTGTGTTTTCCTAGTACGGGCTAGGACAATGGGTACAAATACATAGTTGAAGAAAACAATGCTTATCACTCTAATTTTCAGTACATCGCGCTTCTTAAGTTTATGACAGTTCTACGGATTTGATCCATTTTACTTCTTGGAAGACGACGCCAGCAGTCATGTTGCGAATTTCGCCTTGAATTGTTATTTTATTTCATAATTGTATTACCAGCGTAGAGCAACCAACCCAATTCTGTGGTTACGACTCTCAATGTTAAACTCAGTAGCCTTGTAATTTTGAACTCAACCCAGATGGCAGACGAACTCTTGGACCAAACTAGTGTTTGTGGAGTACTTCTTGATAGAACTAACCAGCATTTCTGTTACATGAAACGGTGTTAATTATGCTACAAAACGCGAAAAAACGCTTAAATAAACGGCGATTTGAAAAAATAAATGACGAAAAATGTGAAGAGATAAAAATCCACAGTGTGCTACGTTTTGCTTAGGAGTATAAATTTTAATTTAAAAAAAAATTACAAAATTCGTCAACAGATGGCACTGCTGTATATATCAACAATGTTTTGTGAATAAGAGCAGAACTTTCTCCCCCTGAAATGTTTGATCCTAAAGCTACAACATCTCATTACTGCAAATAGTTGCTTCTTAAAATCATTATTTTATAGTTTTTCTAAATTAGCAGTGCCCTCTTTTGGCTAATTTAACTTGTAGAGCATACATTCCTTTCTTTCGAAACAAGAAAACAGAAAACGTGCAATAATATCGATTCTTCGGCTTTTTTTAAGTTGTGTTTTTAAATTATCTTAGTTATTCAAATTATTATCTTAGGACACGCGATATTTATATTGCATTCAATATATATATGTATATATATATATATATATATGCTAAAATAATTATTGATAAAAGNTATATATATATATATTGAATGCAATGCAAACAATCTTAAAATAATGCAATTATTTATTTATACAGTACTCAGTATAATGTATTAAGTCTCTTATCCGTTTTTGTTCATTAAGTGGAGAAGTTTCTGCATCAATCATTATCTGCAGCAAAGTAGTCACCAAGTCTTGGCAGTTCCTGGGCTAACAGCCCACGAGAAACTTTAAAAAAAATGACGGAAGTAAAACAATTCAAAGCGCAAAATGAGAAAAAATAGGTTTAAAATCAGTTTAGTACCTTAGAACTACAGATCACAATATGGAAATACCCACTTTAAAGTAAGGGTGAATAACATAATTCGAGAAATAAATTATGCAAATAAATGTTTGAATTTATAGTAATTCAAAAAACAATTTAACCGTACATTTCTTAAATTCTGTTTTTAAATATTATAATTAAACAATTAGAATAATCATTGTTATAATAACATCATTATTATTTAAATTAAGTAAATATCCGTTATTAAAACAAATTTACTTAAACTTAAAATTTTAATAAACTTATAATTTTAATTTCTTCCTTTCAATAAAGGATATCGAAAAATAATAAATAGAATAAAAAAATGTTTTTAATACACTTGTACTTATTCAATGAGTTAAACGTACCTTTGTTAAAGTTTTGCTCGAAGATGTTTGGAAATGATACTTCATAATTTACGCTCGGATGAATGACGTTGAAAGTCTGCAAAAGTTTTCAAATTTCTGAAACAAAGATTACAAAAGAGTCTTAATAAAGAAGAATATGCACATAATGAGCACACATAGAATTTGGTGTAAATATTTATTGCATTGTTATTTTCAGCTAACATTTATTGTTTTATCACTAATATCACTATTTTCTCCTATTGTTGCCTGAAAGCATTTAGAAATTTTCATAAACACTTTTCGATAAAATTTTGCAAAAAAAAAAATGAATTCTTTGTGAACTAACCAGTAAAGCTGCTTAAAAAACACAAGTATTAAGGAATGAAAATGCAAATAAATTTGATTATACCTAAGCTCATTACCAGTATTTTAAGCGATTTGGTCATAACAAAGAGGATTTAGTTAAATAAATTTAAATGATATGTTCTTAGAATTTAGAAATTTAATTATGGTTAATTGTATCCCAATTATTAAATTACTTTGATTAAAATTGAGAAGATTAGTGATAAAACATCTTTACTTCATTATTTAAAAGATAAAAGTAAAGAACAAGAGCATCAACCAAACATATTGTATTTACTGCTATTTTTATTGCATGACTTCCCGCTCTTTGTACAAGGTAAATAAAATAAAAAATAAAAAAAAAATTCGTATTCAGCTTACAGCCTCTGAAAATGTCACTTACCTGGTTCTTCCACTAAATCCTTCAATGTCCTTAATAAAGCTAAAATATATTGTTCTTTTTATTATTACTTGCAACTCTTTCCCTTGTAACCCTTTGATTTTATGCTATTAAACTAAGCAAAACTGTTTTATCATAGTTCACCCCATCAAAATTGAGATTAACTGTATTTTGCATCCCTTAGCGTGATGCTGTTGCTCGTGGTCAGCTTATAATAGTCAAATTTTACCACTATCAATTTTCTCTTGTTCTTATGCCTTTCGTAGGGCAAAAATATCAATATAATACTTTGTAGGGGAGAAGCGGGTACCCCGCCCACAGCCAATTTCAAGTGTACAGAATATTTTATCAAGTCAATAGGCCATCGGACATTAATTGTTATATTAAAAAAAAAGATTATTTTCAAAGTTTCAAGTTTTTATGCAGCTGTTAACATGGCAAACAACAGTTTTGAAAATATGTTGAATACATTTGTCATGAAATTAAGAAAAATTGGTTGAATGTTTCGATTAAACTTCCTTTTAATACTAAAAAAATGATTTTTTCTATACATACAGCATTAAAGTATGCTGTCGTAAGTTTTATTTGCACGAAGAAAGAAGTTTATATGTGAAAAATTGTTCGAGCAATTACAAATTTACAAAAAAATTGAATTTCGGGTAGCCCCCGCTCACATGAATGTCGGGTATCACCGCCCAATGAGATTTCGTCGATAAATGTACGGTTGCAAAGATTATTATTTTATTGCTTCAAATTTGAATGTTATATGCATTTTTAACAACAAATATTGTTGTTATTGAATGATTGATATCAAATGATAGAATTAACTAAAAGTATAAAAATATGTAATAAATAAAATAATTTTGTGATGAAAATGATAAATGAGGTTTATCTATTGCCAATACATTGGTCATTTTCATTTACACCTGAAAAAACAGTCAAAAAACATAATTTTTGTAACTGGGCGGGGCTACCCGACTCATTTTGACAAGAGCTGTAAAACATGTTTTTTTAAATTTCTATTTTTTTTAAGTTAAACTATTCTTTCTTTGGTTTATTCTTTTTGCATTATTTAATTAGATGTTAAAACAATAGAAACATACAAAAATATTGATTATTACTCAATATTATACAGAAATATAAGAATTACTCCTTAAGTGGGCGGGGCTACCCGACTCTCCCCTACCTATTTTAATACATTCGGTACTTATGATATATGTCTGCAACGCAACAAACATAGCATTTATCTGTGGCAACAAACCAAATCAAAATTTAAAAAAAAAATAATAAATAAATAATTATGTTAACAGTAATTAAAACAGTAATAATATGCTCAGAATTAAAAATAATTAATTTGATAAGGATTTCAGAGCATGACCATTTCTCTACTAGACCTTTCAGTTACAGTTTAAAATGTTTATAAGTAGTAGTGTAAAAAATTCTTTTCATTCTAAATCATTAAAATATTAATACACTATCTTTGCTACCACTGGAAAAATACTTTTTGAAACAATTAAAAACCTATTGTAGTACTCTTATCAAAACAACACCATTTAAAATAACACCAGTAGTAAGTAGCACCATAATAATTAAACGTCAAGTATGTAGGACAATTTTCTACGGTTCCCCTAGATGAATTTCTAACATACATAGCTTATTTTTTTGTTATAGCACATAACTTTTTTTATTTCAACTAATGTATATTACCAGCATTAATTAAGCATAATTTTCGTCAATAATAGAAACGCAAATTTTTACTGTTCTGCTTAACGACTAAGTGCATTTTCTCTATAAATTTTACTTTTTAGTACAAAGCCTATTTCTTTTATTTAAATAAGCACTTATAAAGTAAACTAATTAAAAATCGCAGGCGTTACTAATAGAATGGCAATTTTTTACTTTCTTCTAAACAAATTAGTACCACTTTTCCGTTAATTTTGGTTTTGAATACGTTACTATTAATAACTATTAATAAGTATTGATTTTCTGCATTTCAATTACCGCTGATTTTAAATAAATACTTTTTTAGAAGCACTTTTTGAAAAAATAATTGCAAAAAAACATGCGGTGTTAGATAACTTTAAAAATGTAAATTTGGTGACGCAGTCCACGTGCTTTACAGCAAACTCTTTTTTTTGATTAAATAAAGCTATAAGCTACAAATATCACTCATGTTATCTGTAAAATATGTGGTTTATTGAATTATCTTAATTTAAATGTAAAATAATGCCTGGTGCTTAACCAATCAGAAAATCCCACTTCGTTTTTGATTGATCCCGCTCGAACAGTTTGCCGTAGAATGTTCTTATGTCGACAGTGACCTTCCTTGTGTTTTGAATTATCCCTCTGCCAAATTTAATAGCTTTCGGTCGGATGTTTTAAAAGTCTATAAATGACATACACACATCCACAGACAGACATTTATTCATTTTTATAACTATAGATATATAAATTACAAACCTATATTTTTTTAAATACAATGAACTCCTTGTGTTTAGCTCAAATTATTTTTAAAAAATTAATAAAAGAATAAAAAACTTAAATTCATTATTTTATCGGACATGGTCAAAACTAATTGCATTTAATTTCATCAATTTATTTGTTTAAAATTATCAAATCCTATGTTTCAAGTATCAAAAGTTAAATCGTAATAGAAGAGCTTAGTGTAAGAAAAATTTAAGTTTCATTTTCAGGGTTATTTACTAATTAGGGAAAATAACAAAGTTGTGGCTATTTGTATGGGCATGTTTTAATTTAATGGGATTGCTTTTGCTTTCACTTGAATTTTAACATAACTAATCCATGTTAGTTTTCAGTGTGCTTCCGTGATTTGTATTTCAAATTAAGCAGTGGTAAATAAAATAAGGCAAAGCAATACTAACCTCCCTCCAAATCTAAAATAAAATATTTCGGATACCACTTTTTTCTACTTCTCATGACAGCCACCCTGAAAATGCCTCCCCTAAGCTCTACTATTATCAAATTATTAAAAGCAGAAAGTAATGTTCTTATTCAATTTAATTTAAGTGATTACAGCAAAAAAATCAGTAACTCTTCAAATTTAAAGCAATCTTTTAAATTTTCTTTAAATTTAATCAACTTAGTATGAAATTTAATCTGTTTCAAAAATAATCCAAACTTCTTTGTTATTATTATAAATTGTCGATAACCAGTCATTGTCTTTAAAAATTAAATGACATTCTTGTTTTTAAATCACAGTTCCTTGTATGGCAAAAACCAAATGTTAAAAATATCATTATATGATTATGCTTTAAATTGAAATAAAATAGGAATAATAAAAACTTTTTTAAAAAAAATTATAGTATTTCTTGCAGATTGATATTTATTGTCTTTTAGTTTTTAATCATATTTCAAGGAACAAATTGTATTATTTTCAAAGTATTTAAACTGTTGAAGTAATGAATAACATTTTAACCCGATCCGATATCAATAGTTTAAAAGTTAGCACTTGACACTCAGTCCTTGTTAAAACAAAACTGCACATCTGGTAATTTACTTGACACTCAGTCCTTGATGTAATTTTATGTTAATAAAAAAAAACATTACATTAACATAACATTACATCACGCAAATAATTATCCTCTAACATACTTAGTTCTAATGATTGTATTTTCAAGTATTAAGTGTCAGTCTCAGTAACTCACGGAAAGAACCTTAAACATGATAATTAATCAGCATATTTGTTACAATATTTGATATGTAAATTCTATATAAATCAATCGATATATGATATCTTCAGAAAAAGTCATGATTTCAAAAGCTACTCCTACAATCGAGGTAACTTTAGCATAGAATTACCATTTAGCATAGAATTACCATAGAATTACCTTTTACCATTTTTCGATTGAATACCGCCTCTAAAATCAACTTTTTGGCAATAATTTCTTGATGCTGTTAAATTGTGCAAAAATATACTAAGAAACAGTCGAAGCAGACATATTAATTATTTTTTATAAATTATGCCTATACTAGACAATCTATAAATTGTAAGATTCTAGACATACAATTTTAGTACATAACCATTAGCAGAATATTTGTTTTACAGAAAGGGGGGACACTATGTACGTTAATGCTTGACACACGCTGTTTGAAGGAATTCTGAAAAACAATTTTCAAAAATTTTTCGCTTAATAGTTTCCCAGGAATTATGAAAGCAATGATTGTCAGAAAAATGCTGGATTCACCCATTCTTTTCTTCTGAAAAATTTAATCACTTCTTTTTGTCTCCTGTTCCCATTAATGTTTACAACTTTTTCCAAACAATGCCTGAAATTTCGTAACCATAGCTTGCAAGTTCAGATTTCGACAGTTTTAATGTTTTTTTCTGTTCCATTTCCATCTCTCTATCTTAAAC